CTGTCGACTTTTGAAATTATTACATCAGTATCGATTATGATAGTAGAGGAGACCGACAAGTAAACAAAAGGATACATTCCGATTTCTTTCTAATTTGGCACAAATGTAGAAGTACAAAAAATATTTAGGTCGTATTTTTTCATTTTGACCCATTTTAAGTTTCACGAGCGGTTTATAGCTTTTTAATGTTCTTACTCCTTATTATCAACAAGTATAACAAAATGCATAAGAAATAAAATTGAATACAAGATATAGTTACATAATTTTAACAAAATCGGCATAGCTGAGACACGAATTATTCAAAATTTCTTTAGCTGGAATTCCAACCGAAATATTTTAAATTTGTGCTAAATTAGTCAAAAATAGTTCGAATCTCGGCCAAACTGAGAAATTATTTGTAAAAATCATTTTGTTTCAACTTTTTACATATTTTGTTTAAACATTTTATTATTTATACAAATAATTTTACACATTTGACTTCATATTCATAATCAGCAACCAAAAACGTTTATATCTTGTATTCAATTTTATTTCTTATGCATTTTTGTTGCACTTATTGATGATAGGAGTGAGAACATTAAAAAGCTATAAACTGCCCGTAAAACTCAAAGTGTGCCAAAATGAAAAAATGTGACCTAAATATTTTTTGTACTTCTACATTTGTGCCAAATTAGAAAGAAATCGGAGTGTAACATTTGGGTAGGTTTACTTGTGAGCCAAGTTGGCCCAAAAATCACATTAGCCATGTATTTCGTTTATGTATTTATTGCGAGGAACAGTGGAGAAGAAATCGAGACTCCAAACGCGTGACACTCGCTCTCTGCGACTGTGATCTCGGATATTCAAATTGGACCGCGAACTTGGGACTCGTACGGAGCCTGGTCGGACATTATTAAGCGTTATTATTTCAACGACGAAGTATCCCTTCGCGTGCCGTAGAGACTCGTGCACGTCGCGCACACCCAACAAATGACCATCCCTGCTCTTTGGCGTTGAATCCCGGCGAAAGGAGAGCGCGTGCATTTTCAGCGTGAAAAGCATTCCAGCCACTTGCGCTCGACGCCGTAATTATGTTTCTCGCGCCGTCCGCTTTTTGGGTATTTCGCCCGTCGGCGGACGACGATAAATGCCTTTGCCGTCAGACCGCGGGGCGCCCTTAAACGGCGCGGCCCTTCACGCGGCTTTCATCCTACGGGAGTCCCATTGCCCGACCACAATCGCCCCGGCCCCGCTTTTTGTCGGGAAATCGCGTTTATTATTTGCGATGCACAGTGTGCTCGATAATGAGCGATAATTTGACGGAGCGACACGCTCCTCTCGCCGAGCACCAGCTGACTTTTGTCGTGCAAAATAGCTCGCAGTCGCAGTAATCGATCGAATGTTCTCTCTCGGTTCTCGTATCCTCGTCGGCTGTCCCATAAGTCAAGATTCGAGTAAGATTAAGTTTGTTCTTGAAATTGGTAATTATCGTTGCGCACACTCGTATTCTCGGGACGTAATTCGTAAGGCCAACACGCTACTTTATTTCTCAAGCTGCAACTTGAATGTCATAAGCTTTTTGCTTAAAATATTTTTTCCGTATCTCTCACAATTTTGAAGATACTCAAATGAGCTTTATCAAGCAATGTTCAGGGAGTCGTTTCGACCCTTAAATACGCCAGAAAACATATGAAAAGTACATTTCTTTCATTTTGATTTACTCTATGACACATATTTGAAGAAAAAATAACGTGTGAGGCATTCCGTAAGAAAGTGCTTCCTCGTAAGAGTGCGCTTACGAAATTATGTTAACGCGATTCAGCGTGCAAATACTCGTTGCCATTTCTTGTTACATACATATATCTTCATGATAAGTCACGCGAAGTGTGTCAAGGGGATATTTCAAGCGGCCGCTCGTACGTGAGACAGTATCGTGGACTGCATAAACGTAATGCGATTAAAGGACGGATACATAATAATAAACGAACGCGATACCAATCGACTGGCTGTTGAGATGCGAATGCAAAAGGACAGAAAAGGAAAGTAACGCGCGGGCCCATCTCTACGAACAGACGAATGAAAATGCGCGGCGGACTCCACGAGATATCTCAACGAGACGAAGGAGATCCAAGGGGAGCACATCAGCTATCGGCGAGGAAGCGTCAAAAGTGCCTATAGTTATCACTCTCTCCCCTCATCCCCCTCGCCCCTCGTCGATAATCACTACTAATAAAAAGGAGGCTGCCCCGAAATCGCGCGCGCGCGATCCACCAAGAGAGAGGCGGAAAGAAAAAAGAGTTAAGAACAAAAAAACAAAAGAAAATAAGAAAGAAAGCCACACAACGGATACCTCGAGGGATCACCGCGGCGGACTCGTTCGCCACGGAGATCCGCGGCTGACTTAATTCCCCGGGACCTATATTTATCATGTCCGATAGCAGATTTCGAGCTGTCAAGTCGGACGAGCCAACGAGGCCTTTCCACGTTGCGGCCAACAGAAGTTCGCGTGACGGCGACGGAGGTTTGCCTCTTTCTCTCCCTCACTCTCTCTCTCTCTCTCTCTCTCTCTCTCTCTCTCTCTCTCTCTCTCTCT